TTGTAATGTGACAGTGCCTAGGGAGGGGCTGGATCCTCCTTATGAGATGTGCTTAACTAACCCTCTGAGCAAGTTGGGATTGTAAAGACCACAAGCTGAGACACTTGGGAATAATGTGGAAATGATGCTAACTAGTGTGGGAGACAGCAACATGAGCACACCACGGAGGGTTTTATGGCAGGATTTGAAGAGAGTAGTGAGGAAATTTTGACAAATGTTAGCATATATTCTTCTTAAATGGTTGAGGAGTTCCTCTCAAGAGGCAGTGCTGTGGTGGAGGAAATTAAGACTAAAAACTAAAGCTAAGGAGCTTTATTTGTTGCATTACAGAATGGAGGGAGAGAGAGAGGGAATGCAAAGATGAGATGATTGTATCTGAAACAAGTGGGAGGATGATGTTTGTAGTGGCCTTCTAACTAGGTGTGTAGGTGTGTCAGTGCTACACTACCAGTTGTCATGCTTGGTCAGATTGGGTTTCTGCTGTCCAGTAAGATATTTTTTAGTTATTACTGGTTTCCAGTTGTCATTATACAATCTTGAGGCAATTTCTTCTGGGTCTAAGCTTTGATTTTTGCAAGGCTTGAAAAAAGGCCTCTTGAGCCGCCCGTATGTCTAACAATGAACTCTTCCCTCTTCTTTGACACCTGAAATCCTAGATAACTTTCTAACGTGTTTTTTTCTTACTGTTTTCTGTTTAGCCTCCAGTTCCAAGCCTGAACTCAGCTCCAGTTCACAGACTTTGGGAAGTCAGCAGAACAAGACAGATGGCACCCGAGTAAAAACTCGCGTTCTGCCCAACATGCCAAAGCTTTTCATACCTTCATCTGTCACCAAATTTCCACCTGAGATCACTGTCACTCCACCCACTCCCACCCTCCTTTCTCCAAAGGGCAGCATTTCAGAAGAGACCAAGCAAAAATTAAAGGTAATAAAAGGGAAACAGTAATTTTTTAGATTATTGTTTTTATCTTAATTCTCCCCTCAATAAAATACTTGTATGAAAGAAGCAACAGTTCATAACCAGAGGCAGTATAAGCAGTGGAAGAAGGTGGTACCTGTTAGCAGCAGGAGCCAGTTTTTTAAGGACTGGTGCAATATTGACCATGGGTGTAATCAGAGCTATTCTAGTCCTTATCCCTTTTATGAAGGAATTGGAAAGAATTACAAAAATGGCTGAGTGAGCCAGAGCAATTCTTAGGTTAGTGGAAGCTACCAGAACATGAGCTGTGGGGAAGCCCTCTGGTAGATGTCATAGTGTTTCAGATTAGGATATCATATCTTTTATAAAAGTAAGAGAACCACTGAATGTGAAGGAATAACAACCAGTGAGCTTTTATCCCTGTGATCATGGGTTTATCCTAACTATTTAGCAATATATTCTCTCTCTCTCTTTTTGGGATCAGTCTGCTATTTTGTCTGCTCAGTCTGCAGCGAATGTAAAGAAGGAGAGCCTTTGTCAGCCAGCTTTGGAAATCTTAGAGACCTCAAGCCAGGAATCCTCACTGGAAAGTGATACTGATGAAGATGATGACTACATGGACATATGAATGAATTCTGGCCATCATCAACACCAACCATATAACCATCTTCTTGTTGCCAGCATCTCTGGGAGTTGAAACATCTTCATTGGCATTACTCTCCATTTAATTGGCATCATTGTGTTCTTCACTTTCATTACCTTTGTTATCACCACAGCCACTTGTATTGCCTTCAGAATCTTCTCCCCATCATGGTGCTTGATGGAAAGACTGATTGTTTACCAGGAAGTTAATTAACTTGGATCACGCTGTCACCGTTAACTTCAGTAAACACAAGGATGTTTTGTACTGCAATTCATATCTCTCTGCTGTTCCTGCTTCTTCAAACCAGAGCTTTGGGAGTCACTCAGTAGCTCTTTTCTGTAACATTTTCTTCCTTTTACTTGTCTTGCATTTTTCCCTCTAGCTGTTTCTCCCAATAATTCAGCAACCTGATGTCTGTCTAACCATGCCATGACTAGTCCAACAGCTCCTTTTAAGGTGAATGGAGTAGGAAAAATTTGCTAAGCTGGTAGAGATTTTAGTTGCATCAAGAAAGTCTGTGGCTTTGTCATAGGGCAAGGAGGGTGAGCTGAGAGTCTGTCAGCTCCTTCACGCTGCTGGGTGCTTTGTTGGAATTTGACTCAGTGACAATAGACAAAAGAACCAGCTTTTCCAGGCAGACAGAGAGAGCTTGGTCTCCTGTTTGTGCTCATTTCGCACCAATGTATGAGGTCCAGCAAAAATTATCTACCTGAATGTTGGCTTAAAGAACTGATCTTTCCGGAATTGTCTTACAGTCCTTTCTCTTCTAATGCCTTGGACAAGCATTTTGAATTGGGGGCTAGATGATATTTTTATGGTGGTATTGAAAAAAAACTTGAAAGATTTCAGTACCATTTCAGTAATGTCTGTTTTTTACAGAATGACACGAAAAGGTGTTTTTTATCTATCTGCAGAGGGACTGCTCACAGTTATTTATATGAGAAAATAATGGTAACAAAGATCCTCTTTTTTTTTTTTTCTACTGAATGTTAACTTTGTAAAATAATGAATGCAAACCATGCAAAAAAAAAAAAAGTCACACACTATATATACACACGCGTGCGCCCACACACATATATATATGTGTATGTACATATATATATATGTATGTATATGAAACCAGAAATGCATACAGCTTGCAATGTCGGATTTCTTTGTGATGGGGGGGTTGGTTTTCTGTAAAATGCAGAGCTTTGTATAAACTTTGGGGGTTTTTTTTCTAATAAAGTTGAAATGTACTGTTGTCTCTGTTTGTTTGAGAGGGCACAAGGTACCGTGGTTCTGGAAAGAGGACTACTCCTCTTTCCTTTTATTTCTTGGATAAGAAATAAAAGGGGCTGGGGGAACGTGATGGGAACCCCTTTATTTTCTGAAGACTGCCAGAGTTCTTGGGGTGGGTTTGGTCTGTTGGACCCAGGGCCCAGGTCAGCAATTGTTGCCCAGATTCCTGCAATGGGTTCACTTCCCTGTCAAGACATGATGGGAATTCTTTTTCACCCATCCTGGTGTTTTTGATGCTGATGAACAACACAAGAGGGAAGGCATCACATGGGGAGCGGGATCACATAGAATATTTGGCTGTACAAACCAGCACTTAATGCACTGTTACAATAATTAATCTGCTTGACTGTAAGAATGGCAAATGGACTGTGGAGAAAAAGGAGCAGCATCAATCTTTGCAAGTTTATTCTGGGGTTTTTGTTTTAAACAAAATGTAGTTTATAAGCAAATGAACACGTTCATTTTGGATGTGTAGCAACTGTTTGTGTAACTTGTTCTCCTACTACAAGTAATAGGTGGGGTGAATGTAGCTGATGTGGAAAAGGGGAGGCAGCTGAATGGTAAAAGCAAATGGGTATTTTCAGTAGTAGTATGTTTTCAGTGTTTTCTCCTTAATTTGCACTGTATAGAATACTGTGTAGTCATTGTTAAAAGGCTGAGGGAGCTTTAGATAATCAAGTATGATCTTCAGGTTTTTTAGAAGAAAGCACAGAAAAACATAAATCAGCCTTTTAAGAGAAATGGAAACCAACTGTGAGGATGTAGTTCTGAATAGGGTTTTTTCAAATAGAACAGACTACACAGACTTTTTGGCTAATGTGTATTCTTAAATGTATTGATGACTTAAAGATCACATTTAAATTCTTAGGTCCAGACTTTAGCATGGTTTAATGTATAAAACATTTCATTTTCTTAATTGAATCGATCACTGAAATTGGTGCTTTTTGCCTTTTTTTTTTTTTTTTTTCCTCCAGAGCTTCCTAAAATGCCTGGTCTTGAGGTTTCTTTTGACTTCTAGTCCTGCTTTTTGAGAAGGATTTAAATTTTTGCTGTTTAAAGAAAGCTAGAACAGTAAGTGTAATTGTTCCTGTCAGCAAAGAGAGCTGAATTTGCTGATCTCCCCTAAACTCATTTTGATGTTCAAACTCTGCAACTGTGCAACTTGTTTTGTCCTGTATTCAACTCTCTTACCTGCTTTTTTCTTTTTTTTTTTTAATCTATTATTTTTTATTCCTGTGATGCTCTTGAGCAGCTCAAGGACTTTTTCTCAAGCTCAAGAAGTTACTGAGAGACTGAACTTCACAGGCCACCTCCTTCCAGTCCTGCCCTTCTACTACTGACTAAATAGTATGTTGCTCAGCTGTGGGCCTTCTTCATCAATGGGTGTAACTGCTGATGTGCACTGCAGGAGCTCTTCTTCTTGTCTGTGTGTGAAATCATCTCTCTGTAAGTACAGTTTGTGTAGTTCGTCAGTTCAAGGAACCGTATTCTGGAACGAAGATGCCGAGATCACTGGAAGCCTGGAGACACGAGGTTTGTTTAAAGCACCATCCCTAAAGGTACTCGGAGCAAGAATTTCAAACCCTTACAAACAGAAATATTCACTTTAGGTGGTATCTTCTGAAGCTTGGCCGTAGAATCTTGTGGAATTTTCAGGAAAAAAAGCATTATAGTAAAACTGCAGTTAGGGATTACTTGAAGTGTTCATCTCGTTTATTTCAGTCTAATCCTGGTGGTTATAGCTTGAAATCCAAGCCTAGACAAGATCCAGTTTACCAAATTGCATATCAAACGTAAACACTACATCTGTCTTGAGGATTTACTGGGTAACCATTGTTCCTGACATCACAGTGTTCCCAGGTGTCTCTGCTGTGCCAGACAAGTAAATGGCAGCTGCTGAAGTACATTGCTGTGGTATGTTTTTGGTTTGGTTTTTCCCTGTGAAGCCATAGGGACAGGAATGTCTGGTGTCTAAAGTAAACATAAAGGTGAGGTCTGTGACCAAGTGGGGTGAGGCTTTTAGTTCTTTCTTTTTTTTTTTTTTTCTTGTGACAGTAATTGATTGAAAACCAAATCTTTTTTGGCTACTGCAGAGCCACAGTGTTAAGACTTTCAGGCAAACAGCAAAACCATTTTTGTTCCAAGGCAAATGGAAAAAGAAATTATTTTGAATCAGATGTTGAGAGTAATTTGTGGAGAGTTAATATACTGTGCTGTTGCTGGGCATTGTTTTTGCACACAGTAAGCTGTCTTTCACTGTTAAGGTGAAAGTACTGTTAATGCACATAGTACTGGGGTTTGGCTGTTTAATGCAATTTCATTTCCTGGCACAGGGTTTATGTAATCTATGTATAGTTAAGACCATTGTGAATTTATCTGTCTGAGACAAGGAGGACTAGTGTTTTACTAAGAATTAATTTTGTTGGGCACAGCTGTCATTAGTGGCTTCTGCCCACTGTCTGACAAATGCTGTAGCATTTTCTTCAAAAGCTAATGTTTCCTTCCACAACCAAAATAGCAGATCAAGGAAGATACTGAGTATCTCCTTAATTGTATCATGTACTAGGGCTTGGCAGTTGTTGTCTCTTGGTTGTTGGGTTTTTTTCCCCTTAATTAGAGTGAGATTTCCTCATGAATAATGAAATTAATGTCTTTTGCAGCCAAAATAAACACCATATGGTCAGGGAGAAAGGGACCAGGAAAAGAGGAAGGCACGGCAGCTGAAGCTGATAGGAGACAAAATGGACTGAATGAGGGGCCAGGTGAGAGCAGACCAAGTCTTACCATCCAGGGTGGGATCACACCATTGTTAAATTCCATACCCTGCTTTTGCCAGTGGTGGTGATATTTCAGTGAAGGTGAAAAATCTGTGGTGTACTACCTGTGTGTACAGTGTTATACACCAAGCACAGTTTGTTTCTGCTCCTGCAGGTGCTTGTCATATTTTTAGGGGACTAGGTGGGCAGGGTAAATGAGTTGAGATGCACACAAAAAGAAAGCAGCAGACACACATTTTGTGATCTCTTTCTTAGTCACATAAAGCTGGGATGAAGAAGCTTTGCTTTTGCAGTTGAAGGTGATGGTAGGAAGTTCACTGTAGGCTGTATGTTAATTATTGTCTTTCCCTTCTAATTGATAACTGGGGATCCACTAACACTAAATTATGATGCTATTCAGGATTTAAGGAGTAACCTCAGGATACTGCACCACAGGCTGTACCCCAGCCTAGTTATGCCTTTGTGGGACTCTGTGCTGTCCTTGCAGGCCATGGTGGAACCAGAAGCATTGCAAACCAGCACCTGGGTTTATCGGCTTCTGGAGGATGACTGAAGTTCACTCAAATGACCCTTTCACATTAACACTTAGAGAATCCCAGGCAAATTTCACCTGAGAGTTAAAGACATGTCTCCTTGGATAGACATTTTTGTTCCTGCTGCTGTTTATTTAATGCAACTGTGAGCGTAACACCCCTCAACAAGCACTTGTTGGCCAACTCCAGAGCCCCTGTTCCAGTCTCCAAAGCTGCCCTTGAGCTCGCCCACCTCAGGGCAGCTTTGTTTGTGCACGGCATGTGCGCAAGGTCCTGCTGGCTGGGAGCGCATCTCTCTAGCCGAGTGCCCAGAGTTCATGCCGTGTCATTGGGAAGCTACACTGGCCGCTCCGGCAGCACTAGAGGGGGCCCTAGGACAGAGGAGGGAAGGGAGGGGAAAAAACCAAGGGGGAAACCAACCGCTCACCCTAAAATGGGCGACCAAGATCTATCCTGAAACTTCTGAAGGACTACATTGCACTGCTGGTTTGGACCTCGCTCAGTTCTTAGGGCTTTCTGATCCTGTACCGTATGTCCTTTGCATTATGTATAGTCTGATTCAAAGCAGAGGGAATGAGAATCCTCATGGGCTGTTTACAGGATTGTGTGTTCCTGGCCATGGCAACGAAAAACAAGAGCTCACTTTGTTACCATTAATATTGACACTTGGCAGGAAAACAGATCCACTCTATACTTGCTTTTCACACAAAATCTGTTTGCCCCATGACTTTGTTTTCCCTTTTTTTTTTTTTTTCCCTAATTTCTCTATAAGAAGTCCACTGGGTGTTTCCATTTTCTTAATGTGCAGCATATTATAGTGGGGAGAGGGAGCATCTCCTGACAGTTAGTCTTGTGTAAAAGGTTGAGCTTTGTCAGTGTAAATGCTGATTAATTCAATCCCAGTTCCTTGCAGTGGTGTGGGGTTTGTGCTGATGTAACTGAGCCCAGCAGTAGGTGATAAACACGCCACTTGTGGGTCTGTGAAGTGTTTTGAGATACTTCTTGAAAAGTAAAATTCTAATCAGGGATGAAAATGTTTATGAGACTGATGCAAGGAATATGAAGCTTTCAAGCTTGGATAAAATCTTGTAAGACAGTATCAGTTCTGTGAAGCAGCCTGGAGGTGAGATCAGGTCCTGGAGCCATCTGGCAGGCTTCCTGCTCGGGAGGGGGACAGTGAGATGGAGCTGAGGCCACGCAGGGACTGCAGGATCAGGAAAACCAAATCACTTCTACCAGGGGAAGAAGTAAAATCACACTCCTGCCTGCACGTAAGATTTATCTGCGCAATTAAATGATCGTGTCTATAGTTGGTACAAAAACATTCCATTATATAATCCCAGTGGGAGGAATACTTTGCAATGTCTCTCTAACTACATTGTCCTATTGAAGGAAACTTTCTATCTAAAGCCTATCTATGGTAAAAAGTAGTTTTCGCTCTCAGATTAGACAGGGGTATCCCTCTCTCAATTTTTATTTCTCAGCCTATTTTTTTTTTCTCCCATGTCTTTCAGAGACCCTGCAAACAACAGTGAATTCCAGTATAAATGGAAGATAAACAAAGTTCATATATGGTATAAGCATATGAGAACCACATTGGAATGGTATTCACTTAGTTTCAGTAGAGTGATATTATTATTGTAACTACAAGTGAAAGACCATGTAGCAGGGCAAAGGTATTTTAGACATAGTGCTTCTTGCATGAATTGTTACATATATCTACAGTTACCCTAAAGACCTGCCCACATATTCACATTCTTTTCCTTCTCTGAGGACAGATATGGAGGGCTGCTAGCAAGGAATAATATGCAACTGAGTTTTACTTGCAAATATGCATTACATGAACTATGATCTAATATAGCACTGAACACATACTGTTCAGTAATAATTAGTAAAGGATGTTGTATGAGCAGAAAAGCTTCATATACTTCAGAAGTGTTCTTTGATTCCTTGTAATTTAAGTCACACCAGAGATTTCATTTCCTTAAATTACACCCTAATGTGTATGAAGAGTCACATTTTCTCTTCTAAATGCGTGGATATATATATAAAATGTAACTCCTTCAGTAAGATTGCAGTGATAATTTTCTTCTCCTCTTAAAAGATGGCACTAGATGTATTCCCAGAGAATCGCTTAACTTGTTAATTGTGCCACCATACAAAACCTCACCATGCTATATGGACGTTGGGAAGCAATTCGAGTGTAGAAATTTATCACTTAGGAATGTCTGGACCGTGTATCAGATTTGCATTAGGTTTGAGTGGGCTAGGGAAAAAAAAAAAAAAAAGAATTAGAAGTTCAGAAATTCATAGTGGGAGTTCTGAGCTTACAGCATCAATTTACAATACCCTGAAGTGAGCGACGCAAGTTCAAATAGCTGCTGCCCTGGCTGTCCCAATAGACACCCTGCTGGAAATGCTTCCTATCCTTAATAAGTCAATGGGCTTTCCTGGGAGCAAAACAAAGAGTGTTGTTTCGCAGCAAGTGTCAGTGGCACAAGGGGATTTTTCAGTTTGGCTTTCTTGGAACATAATAACAGCTTGGGACTGCACATTGTAAAGCATTTCTGCAAAGGGAAATGCAGGGGGTTTGTGCTGGTAACCTGGGTCAGATGATCCCATTGCACTGCTACCTAAGGAAGCCTTTGAATTCTGCCAGTGCAGTCAGAACAAGCTGATGGCATCTAGGCAGTGCTGTCAGCTCATGTTTTAATTGTGGTAATACAGACGTGGGTCCATCTGTAGAAGCCAAACAAGCCGAGTGCATTTACTGGTGCACGCTTGGATGCACTGTGTTGCTTTTTACTCTCTCTAAAATCGACGTTCCTGTGAACTGGGCAAGGACTCTCCTACAGTGGTACATTCTACCAGGTCTGTCCTTTCCCTTGGAAGCTGTTAATATAGCTGGTTTTCTCAAGGTCAGAAGAAAAATGGGAAAGCAGTGCAGGTTTGCTAGAAAGCCTGCAGCCTCAGAGTCATTTTGGTTCCTTGATGTGTCCCACTGCCTCCCCCTCACCACAGAGCTATCCCTGTGCAGCTGGGATGGCAGGTGCCCACCCTGGCCTGGATGGGTGTATTGGCAGCTGTTGAGGGGCAGACACAAGGGCTTAACAACTGCACATAGCTCAGCTCCTGCTCTGGAGGTGTTACCCTCCAGACTGGGCAGTTCACTTGCAGATAACTGATAACTTGATCAAAATGTAAGAGAAAGAGTGAACAGTCTGTGCATAAAATGCACTCAAGCTGCATTTTATTTTTGGATAAGATGAGCTTGTTGCAATTTCAGTGAAACTCAGAAGTATTTGTATTGCTGTTACAGTGCCCAGGCTGAGTGTATGGTCATGATTCAGTGCTGACAACTCGGGCACAGAGACAGCAGTGGGGCAACTGTCTGTTATCAGATAACTATCAACACATGGAAAAGGAGCTGTAAAGAGTATGTAAATATGGAAATGTTATTTCCAAGTGCAGAGAGTCTGCTGGGGAAGAGAGAGAGAGAGGAGGAGGACAATGTTCCTTCTGAAACATTGCCTTATTCAACAAGGTACCTAAATGTAAGTAACTACTATTGATTTCAGCAAAGATAGCAAAGGGCAGCATCACCTTACATTTCACCAAAGGCTCACATTGTGTACAGTTTCTTCAACCACCTAAAGTATTTCTACAACTAAAATTTCCATCAAAAATAAATGCTTTAAAATAAATAGATTTAAATTCCCTAGTATGTGCAGACTCCAGAGTTCATTGCTAACCACTGAAAAATGCAAAAGGCCAAAGAAAGGTGGAAATGTTTCTACTGGTAGAGAAAAATCAGCCCTAATTACTTCTCTCTGAAATTATGGTGGCTATGGCATGTAGATGAACTTTGGAGAGCAACTAGTGTAATCCCCTAAGTTCCAGAAAGGGAGGTCATAAAATTAAATTCTGTTTGGTGATACCTGTCTGCACATGATCCCAGAGGTAATGTTTGTTAGGAATATCATTTTCTTTAACAGCTTTTCTCCCCCATCCTCAGGGTCTCATACTGTTCCAGCAAGGAAATCCTGGTGGCTTTTGGAACAGTAGCAGCAGAACTGGTGATACATTCTGAATAAGGTGAACTAGAAGCTGCTCTATCTTTGTGGGTTCTGGATCTGAATTTTGTCAATATTCACTTTCTGCACCCATTTCATAATAATGCAATGGATTTATTCATTAAATCATAGGTGTCAAAAGAACTGAATTGTGTATCAGAGCTTTCCCATTCGCTGGTGAGTTTTGCAATTTATCTTCCATTTTCTGTCTCCATAAAATAGAAACTACTTGTCCAAAACTGTCCCCCCCTCCCTAAATTGCCACTGAATTTGCAGCTAGGACATTTCTATATGTCTTTAAATGTTTATAATTTTATCTTCTAGCCAATTTTTTGTAAAACTGTGGCTTTATTTATCTTGAGTGAATGACTATTAATATCTGCTAGAAACCATTCCCACTGTTAAATTAAATGAGAGCAATACAGAAATTATCTGAGTTTTTGTCATGGTGAATAACTCCAAATAACTCAGAGCTTCCCATGAGTTCTGGAGAGGACTAAAAAGTGTCTGCTCATGTAAGTTGTCATGGGTTTGCAAACCCATGACAGAAGTGTAGAAAACACTCAGTTTTTTTGAGACTCCTTAAGTCTGAATGCTGAGAAACTGGGATAATTCAGTGCAGCAAAAACCCAAGTCTCTGTTCTAATCAAGCCTTACTTGGATTTTTCAGTTTTTCTCATTCCCCAGTTGAAATTTCCTGTGTCTTGTAACCGTTTAGCAATATGTTACTAACCATCCATTATGTCCTGCTTTATTCTCTTTTAGATGAAAGAGCCATGAAAAAAAAGAATTCACCAGCCCCTGTGACTGAATTTGAGCGATAATGTCAATGGAATTAACACATTGCCATTGTTGAATGGTCTCCTGTGGCTATATAAACATCAAGGTAACACATTTCCAAAGCAGAAGACATTACTGCTGTGATACTGTTGTTGTGAGAATATTTCCTCACTGCCAAAACACTGATGTAGATTTAGCGTTTTGCCTGCTGGAGAATGATGTGAGGAGAGAAGGGGGGGAAGGGTTGATTTTGCTGCTTTTATTTTTACTGAATTCTGGCTCATTTGCTGAAGAAAATCTGTTAAATTGTTTGGTTAAACATGGAATGAGAGCATAAATACGTTGAAGTTTATTTAAGACAACCTCTGATTGGTAAATGCGTTTAAATGATGCCACTTTTAAGGGCCTAATTCTATTTCTAAAGAGAACCTTTTGGAAAAGCTGTGGCAGAACTGCCTTCAGGAAAACCAGGATTTTTCAGCCTGGGGAGAGTTTGCTCAAGAATAGGTGTCTCCTGCACTGTCTTCATCCATTAACATAATTTTCATCTCTGCAAACAGAAACAGACCGAGGCTTAAGTACCTTTGGTACATTGCTGAGTAAAATTTTAGTAAGGTGAAAGTTTCAGTTTTAACTTTGAGGGTGGCAAGGCTAGTTGGAAAACTTTTTAATGGTGATGATCCCACTGCAGATTCGTTGTCACTGTCTCGCCTAATGCAAGAGAGAAACAACTGATGTGGACGTGGCACAGGAGGGGTCTGGAATTCCTTGGGTCACAGAACCATGGAGAGTGGCTGCACTGCAGAAGCCAGAGCTGGTCAGTGGGACATGCAGGTAACAGTAATGATTTCCTGTATTATGACTTTCCTGATCCTGGTGCAAATGGAAGAAGAATCTGTATTTCTGCAAGAATATTTTCATTTCTCTTCAGGCAAGAAAACATTCAGGCAGTAAGTGCTAAACCTGATAAACGCTGTTCCTAAATAACCCTTGCTATGTGAATTTTACTTCTCTGCAAGGTTAAAGCCATTTTTAAACAACAAGTTGGTAGGTTTGCTGCGTTTCTACTGACCAGAGACCAGAACCCAGGTATCAAAGGGTGGGAAGTCAATCTCAAGATTGACCTTACTGGGCAAAGATGGGCCCCCCCCTCCAGAATCCATGAGACAGACCCACTGCCTGGCCAGAGCTGAATCAGTTCTGGTAAAAAGGACTTCAGTTTGCAATCTGGCACTTCTGTGAATGTTTGGGCTGAAACAGAAAAGAGGGAGGTATTGTCCATCCCAGTTTGTTGCAAGAACAGCCCTGAGTTGGATTCCTTAAAGGAAGGGACTCCTCAGCACAAGGAACGTTCTGTTTCTGGGCTGCACTTGGTTATCAAGGGATAGAAAAGAAAGTTGTGAAGGAAAGAGGGAAGAGCTGCCCTTGGCAGGAGTTTGTTAGGACACAGAAAATGACTTGGTGAATGATGAACACTGTGCAGGAGTTCAGGGAATGAAGTGGACGTGGCTGTGTGACCTGATGTCCTTTTCTCTCCCTTAAGGGCTGTTTGAAGCTCTCTGAAAGCAGAGAGGAGAGTAGCTAGTAAACTTTGTGCTTCAGAATTGCACAGAAAATGCTTCTTTGATCCATGGATCAGTCTTTTGTCAGCTCTGATACAATGGCTGATGGCTTTAGTGTATCTGCACTGTCACCCAAAGGCACTTGTTGGGAAATGTAACTCAGTGGCTCAATAACTTCTCCCCTTTCTCTTCACTCTGACCTGAGCATAGGAGTGGGGAAGAGGAGCACTTTTCCAAGCTCAGCAACATTTAGATTGCAGTCCCACTTCCCTTGGGAGTCAATAGCTGGTCTTTTGTGAATGTCTGGAAACATAGGATTTTATTTTTGTAAATCCTCAGCTGGGTACAGGAGCTGATGGCAGGACCCCTGAGCCCAGCAAGAGGATACCAATGGCAGAAGAATCCACAGGCTGTTACTTTTCTTTTTTTTTTTTTTCATTCACTGTGTCTTCCCTTTTCTTTTTTTCCCCCTTCTTTCTTTCTGCTTTCATTTTCCCATACATTTTTCCCCCACTTACCCACCTTTTTCCTTCTGTACTTCTTCCCGAGGGTTCTTCCAGAACACCTGCCCTCAGATGGCTCACAGCACCAGTGCCAAAACAGGCACCAGCCTAATGGCAGCTGCAGCTGCAAATAACACCAGGGACAATGCCAGGGAGGAGAAAGTGGTGCATTATCTGAGTCAATTATTATGGCCCTGATTTCATCACCTTGGGCTTCAGTCATGCAGTTGTGTGTATACCCTGAGACCTAAACATTCAGCAACAAATCTCATGGGGAAAATTCAGCATGATTCCCATGATTTATTTCCTGTTATTTCATATCAGGTCTCCATTGCCAAGATTCTGAACAAAAGGCAGGCCTGGCCACTGCTCAGGATTGTCCTTGAGGTTCAAACTTGAGTCTGAAAGATTCTTTCTTTTTGCATTTGCATTCTGTATTTCACTTGGTTTAAGCTCTCTTTCCCTTCTGGGATGATCCAGATTCCTCAGATACCTCACCCAGATTCTCCAGCTCTTAGGAGTCAATGGAAGAGAGGAACAGTCTCCTTCAAGATACCCGAGGTCACCAGTAAAGCTCTGAAGCAGTGTGATCAAATAAGAGAAGCCCGGACATTTCCCCCTTCTGGAATCTGTGTCAGATGTGTAGTGCTGTAACCCACAGTGTGCCAGTGAGCCTGGGTTACATCCCAGTGGGAAGCAGTCTGTTCATATGCCAGTGGAACATCCATCTGTTCTTCCCTGTGGCCCCAGAATTCCTTTAGTACTCACTGAGGTATCACAGGAATAAGAGGTGAGAAGGTGCCTCAAAGCCTTCTTTGCTGCTGCTGCTGCTGAGGCAGGACTGTTCTCTGCAATACCAGTGGTTTGTGCAAAAGGCAGTTAAAAGCCCAGCACAGTAAGGACTTTGTTCCTCTGTGAACAGGCTGCCCTTGCAACAGGGAATGTTTTTTTCCTGGATACTCAAATTGCTTCTCTCTCATTTTCATCCCAACTAATGAAGATAATTATATCCCTTTGTAGCACATTAATTCCTCTGTCATCTGTATGTTTACACCCTGCAGACATGTTCATTTCTTCTTTGTGTATAGGGCTGTCAATCAGTGAAGATTTACTTAACCAGCTCCTCTAATCTTTTCTGGTGTTCAGCTCATCCAGTCTCCCTCCAGTTCCCCAGTAGCTTTGATAATGAGGTGATAAGAATTACTTGTGGTTTTACCAGTTTGTTTTACATCAGGCTCTCAGAAAGAAGCCCTGCCACTTTCCTGCTCAACTGTATGCTATTTTCACGTGTGCATCCTGTGGTTATGTTTGTGGTTATATTTCCAACAGGGAAGTGAAAGCATCTCACTGCGAAAAAGCCTATGAACTGTCTCTGTATTGGAGCCTCATTAACGTTACCATATTTTTAGAGGTGGACATGGCTGAACATCACTGTCTTCCAAACAAAAGTTAAAGTGATACTAAGGTTCTCTAAAGGGAAAATCTGGGATCAGGGGTGAGGAACTCCAGAAGTCAACAATTCCTCCCTTGAACAGCTGCTTCACAGTCTGATGCAAAGGGAGGAGAAGGAGTATTTCCATCTTGGAGAAGAAATACGCCACAAAGAAAGTCAGAAAGACATAATGGGGAACGAAGGATGGACTCTAGGTTTATGATAATTTACACCAGCCCTTGGTAGGCTTGGTAACTTGTCCAGTCTGTGCTGTAGAACACAAACTGTAAATCTGAGGCTCCCTCTGCACTGTAAGCTGTTGTTTGGAAATGAAGCTCCGTGGCAGTGAGTCCAAACCTCCCTCTCAGGCAGGCTGAACTCCCTAATCTGACCCCAGCAGGGAGCTCCCTGCAGAAGCCTAAACCAGTAACTGCAGTATTAGAGGGTGGCAAAACCAGTGACCTCATTATTGATAACCATCTAATCTGTGCTCACAGCAATGCTTGCTCTCAAACGTGACTTTGATTTCCTCCTGCACACTCCCCAGCACTCTTCTTAGCAGAATTTAAGTATTTCTGATGAAGCTACATTGTATTGTTTGTATCTGCATGTGGTTGGCAGGCATAGGTTAGGCTGTGTAATAGCAGTGATTTAAAAACAGTTTTGCCTCTCAAAAGCAGAGTTTAGGTTCTTAAGATACACCTATTATGTGTATTAGTGTTTGCAAGGTTAGAGAGGAGAAGAAATCTAAGTCATTTATGCCCAAGTAGCTAAAATCCAGTATTTTCAGTACGATGCAGTCATTGCACACCTCTGTTTTCGTTCCAAGTGAAAGTTGCCTGTACGTTCAGAGAGGACAAAGCCATGTGTCATCCCTTGGTTTCTCAGGGAATTACAACCAATATATTTAAAACATTCAGGTGTCTGATGTTCTTAACAACTTAGAAGCATTTGTTCGCTATAGTAGGGCTAATTTTTAATTTATTTTTCTAAGCACATCTATCCAAAATGATGCTAGGCTTTTATATTCACAGCGGGGAGCATTGTGAGGTTTAAATATCCCTTTAATCACTAAGGATGTAATAAAAACAAGAAGAGTTCTTTGAGCTGCAGAGTGTCACCCAGGGAAAAATCTACTCTGGAGCTTACAAATGTGAGCTGAAGAGACAAACTGGGCAATAAAATCCACAACTACGGACCAAACCGGCTAAAAGTTGGTCTGTAGCTGCCCATCAGGAGCTGAGACTCGGAGGGGGGAAAAGGCCATTCAGCACCTCTAGAGCCATAAGAGCCAGGTCATAAACGTTTCACAATCTGCTGGGGAGGGGGAGGGAGCCGTGGGGCCGTGATCTGCCTGGAGTCTGTACCCACGACTGCAACAAAGAATGAGTATAGAAATTTGACTGTATGGGAA